ATAATAATAATAATAATAATAATAATAATAATAATAATAATAATAATAAATTGCACTTTTCTCTCAATTGAGAGTCCTCCTCTCTTCGGCCGTTTGCGGGGGCTCGGTGGAGACTTTCTCCGAGTAGCACCGAGCTGGATCTTCACGGGGGAATAATAATAATAATAATAATTTGGAAAGCTGTGAAGGCAATTCTCGCTCTGAAGTACCAGCATGTTTTGTGTCGGATGCCCAAAGCGCCAGGAGGTCGAATCAGAAACCGGTCCTCGGGTACCATACAACGCTCCCTCTAAGCTGAGTTAGTGTGAGCCAGCTCACAGTTTTTAAGCCTCCGGCTCACGCATTTTTTGCCTTCGCTCAGGAAGGAGGGCCCCAGAGCAAACTGATTTCACGCAGTAGCCAAAGCGCCGGCTCACCCGCTTTAACGCCGGGCGCTCGCAAAGTGGGATTTCTGCTCACGAGACTCCACAGCTTAGAAGGAGCATGGAACGATATCGCCCCCTTTTGTGCGTGCGTGTGTTTCGAAGGATATTTGATCGAATGCGCCGATGTGATCGTTGTCACGTGTGAGGCGGTTTCTCCTTTCCGAAAGGCCTTCCGGACTAGGTCGGCGTGATCCGACAGACGTTGGGCCCTGGCTCCAGCGGAGTCGCCGGAGAGATTTTTACAGACCGGGTAATACCCAGCACTGGGGAATCCTAGCGGATCCGCTTTGGTTTCGTTTCGTTTCGGTTTTCAAATGAGACTTTTCAAAAGAGGTCCCCTCCCTCCCTGTAGATTGGTTCAATTGGCCGGTCAGGTTTGCCTTGGACTGTGACGAGAAGGGAGCCGGCCAGGAGAGAGATGGGAAGAAATTAGAGGAGAAAAACGGACCATTTAGAGGAAGGCGAATGGAAGCCAGGTGGAAATTCCGCGCGGAGAATGGAGCGGGGGTGGAACTGGAGATGGAGAAGTTCCGGAGGGTGTCCATATCGGGCCGAATATTGTCCCCTTGCTCACGTGCGGCTGGGCGTGTTTACTCGGAAGCAAGAGCCGAAGGTGGTGGTGGGGGGACTTGCTCGCACCTAAGGTGCCCACTTCCGTGGCATCCTGAATACCCCCCCCCGCGGCACGCAAAGCGGTACGCGCGTCCCAATCAGTGTTCCCTCTAAAATGAGCTAGTGTGAGCTAGCTCGCGGGTTTTGTTAGCCTCCAGCTCTCACATTTCTGTCTCAGCTCCGGGGCAAACTAATTTCTGCAGCCGCCAAATCGCTTGCTCACCACTTGAATGCCAGTAGCTCACAAAGCAGAATTTTTGCTCACAAGACTCCACACCTTAGAGGGGGCATTGGTCCCAATCCCTTTGTATGTCTGGGAATGAACGGGGGGGAGCTCTCCTCCCCAGCGCGTCCCGGCCTCTCTCTTTACCCGGGAGTAAAGTTCTGCTTGGACTGCCCAGGGCAGCGTCTACAACCTAGGTGCCCGGATGGCACGGGAGAAACGCAACCCGAAACGGTGCGGGCCGGATTGGTAGCGGATTATCCGGTGCACGCGTGCCCTCCGAAACCAGAGGCCCGTTTTCTGGAGTTCAGCCCTTTGGGAATCTCTCGGGGGGTGGTGGTGGTTGTGGGGGGAAGGAACTCAAACTTGTCCCGGAAGCTGAAGTTCTTCCTACATTGGCTAAATCAAGCAGTTAGAACCAGGGCGTAAATATGAGAG